TTGTAAACTTTTTTATAAATGTGTGATAAGGGTATTTTTGTTGAAGAGCTTCAGGGCTTTGGTCTAATGGTAAGAACATAACGTGAAGGGCTTTGGTCTAATAGTAAGATCACAACGATGCATGGATTAGGCCACACGCCACGAGTTCAAATACTGCCGCAGATAAAAGCTTGATATTTAGGTGGAGAAGGGTGGAGGGACAAGCCCATTATCTATCGAGTTTCGAACCTTGAGCCAACTGACCCTAGAAGATTTCTTCTTTATCAGAAAAAGGAAATTTTGTGGAAGAAGTAAAGGTCTTTTGTCTCTATCTAAATTTTGTATAGTGTTTCATCTACATCTTTCCAATAAGTAGAGATATGGAAGGAACAGACATCTTGGGCACATTCTTGGTTCCTTTTATAAACTCTGATGCACATTGATTGGCAACTTTTCCATTGTACATGCTTAATTTCATATTTGACTCAATAAGCTCATTTTCCTCAACCACGTAGCAAACCTATCGTTTATAGTTTCCATGTGTTGTCACCATGGCAAGTCTGGCACACCTGATCTACCAACTCATGAGCAAGTCTCCTTAGGTTATCAAAGTCACATTATGATGGCATCCTTATCAATGAATCAAACTATCTTCCGATATAGCACATTTGTGGTTACCCATGTCATTCTCCTATATAGAGCTGTTGCAGTAGCAATGGGCTCCTACCCCACATAGCAAACACGAGATATGAAAACCTAAGGTTGTCATTACTTCCCTCATTCTCAGTGGGGTTTAGACTAGAAAGCAATTTGGTCCGATTTGGCTTCCATTTTGTATTTTGGAAAACAAAAAAGAGAAATGATTCCAGCATCCCTCCACGCACATTAGCACAACAGGAAAGGAACTAGCAATCGGATTGGTATGGGGAAAAAATTGACACAAAGAATTTCTATCACGAAACTCCACAACCCAATAACAAGTTGTGGTAATACACGAAATGCAGCAGAAAATAAAAATATATATAATCGGATAAACAGAGACAGCTCAGTCTATTTAGTGAAATAAAGTTAAATCACATCATTGTTCACTCACCTGTAACCAACGACTTGAATCAAAATGATCAAAAGTAGACCTTGCACCTCGAGTTGGGGTCTGCAATATCAAGAGTAAGCAAAATATTGTGTTATGATTGCTCCAAAACATGTCATGAGTTCTATCCAAAAGTCCACGTTAATTGATTACACTCATGGAATGACAGTTTCTAGCAAGATAATAAAAGAATTACACGGTTTCATATTACCATTTATCATTAGCTCCCTGGGTCCCTAACTCTTGCAAGAGCACCCCACAGGGATTGGAGGTGTGGAAACATAAATGGAGCGCTACAAGTCATCTTCCTCCTCCTTGGACAGTAAACAAGAGAGGAGGTGAAGTAAAAGCAGAGGGGTAATACTCTCCAAGTCCAATTCTTCAATCCATCCAAAGCAAGACAAAATGAAAGTAAGTATATTCCTGTCGTAGTAATATGATAATTCTTCCATTCTATGCTCCTCATATACATTTTTTTTACGCAGCACCAAAGTTATTTTAATGGTTGATACTTAGGCGTGTCTAAAAATATTTTAACACTCAGGTGATCAAATGTTCTTTTCATTAAACAACTAAGAGAACTGCCTTCTTCCAAAGTAGTATATACGGTGTTCCTATATAATCAGCCAATTATCCCCTATTCAACTTCAACTAAAGCAAAAAAGTAATTGTTTCACAATATGCTGCAGCAGGGGCATGATATGCAATAGCATAACTCAGATGTGTAGATGACTCTGGCTGCAATGGCTCTTCAACTTAGGAGTAGATAGCCTTGATGTTATGACAACTACATTAGATGAAAGTTATGATCAAAGAACTGAAGAAGAGACATTCTTCTCCCTTCACTAATTTAACCACACGATACCAGAACTTCAAGCCTTGTCAATGGCATGGGCAAACCCAACACTTGGATCTTCGTAATTTGAAGATAAATATATAGGAGGGACAAAAAGGATGAATAAGATCCAATTACACATTTGGATTTTGATATAAGAGGTAAAATTTTCAGATGAGCAACTATAGGCATTAACAAATTAACAATAAATGAAATGCATTGCTAGGCATTCTTATTGAAAATACTTTTGTTACCATCAAACCTTTAACAATCACGCGGTTTACTGTAAGCAAAGTTTTTTCCAAACATCTCTTTTACAGAAAGGACGGTAATATCTGGTAAAACAAACCTGTGGAAACAATGAAATAATATCCTTAGCTGCCACACCCAACTCCGCCAAAGCTATGATAGCCTCAATGATGTAAGGGCAATGCCTGTGAATAACAGAAAGCAACAACAGTAGGATGGATAAGACTGAGGTGTATTGCTAATGCAACCAATGACTGTGACACTTCATATTGGGTACTGAACAAGGACAGAAGAAAGAAGGAAAAAGAAGGCTAAAAGCAAAATTACCTACAAAGAGAAAGAGCAACAAATAAAGTTTATTGTTTTCTTTTCTCTTCTTGTAATGTCAAAGACTAAAAAGGTAGAAGATGGAGAAACTAAGAAAAACATCTAGAGAAGTAAAAATAAGTAAGAAGATGTGTATACACTGTCATAAGCAAATAATATTGTCTTAAAAAATCAAAACACGACAGACCTTAAACACTCTTTATAGCATGTAATGGCTGCACGAGTATGTCTAGAACTTCGGTAAAGTTTTCCCATCATGAGATTCATCTGCAAATTTCTTGCTTTGCTTGGGATTCCTTCCATCTGTGACATAACGGGGAACAAAGACTCAATGCTTGCAACTAATTTTCTCCAAACTAGATGTATAAACACATAGGTGGACGTAAATGTCAATATTCAGTTATGCTGAGAGACTGTATTACAAATTGTGTAGTATCAGTGAAAGAAATTAAGGAGAAAAAAAAAAGACATAATTCCTTTTTCATCACAAATAGGTGTCCACCAAACATTTTAAAACTATGTCCACTCCAGATAATGAAGAGTCATAAAGATGACTGACCTCGAGAAGAGCTGCTCTATTTTCATTGAGTGCACCATGTGATGATGCAATCTTGAACTTCACCTATTATGATACGAAACAGGAAAGCCAACAAAAGACCCTCAGTAGTGTTTCTATGAGTTTAACATTTCCAAGAATTAGTTATACACCAAGATACCTCATTCTCATTAATTGTTGAAATGTTGAAAGAATTTGGCGATGATGACCTGGTTGATGCTGACAGTGCACTTCTAATGGGTGTTGCATTTTGCTTAGGAATTATTCTGTGGCAGTGCAATGCTTGTTTGTACACGTGCTGGCAAAATAGTGAACCAAATAGTTTAACAACTAACACTATATGATCAATCTTAGTACCATACAAATGAAAATGTACCCTTTATCAATAATTAAATTGCAGTACATGTAGTATCAATCTAAAGTCCAAAATAACCAAATTATCTTACAATAGCTCTCTTGTACTCTTTGTCTCGAAACAAAGCATCGCCGAGAAGCACCTGCATAAAAAATTACAAACAATCGATAAATCAATTCGTAAATAAACAAAATAAATTCGAATTTATTTAATAAAAAGGAGAAAGTAAACAAACCAAATTTTCAGCCTTGAGGTGAGGACTTGTTTCAAGACTTACAGAAGAGGACGAAACAAGAAAACATCCCTAAATTTCAATCAGAAAAGAAACCAAAGATCAGGATGACCTATGCAGTAAATTACAATAATTCAGAATGAGAAAAGGTGAAATCTCAAAAACCCTAAGGGGTTAGTTAGTGAAATACAAGCATTTGAGCAGAAGAGAACAAGCCGTGATCCAATAGAGTGCTCATCGAAACGTCCATTATTGCTGATGAGGATTGAGAGTGTACAACTGTGAAGAGTAGCTGAGTTGAAGCCGTTCGCTTTTTTGAATTCCCTGTATTCGTCGCAAGCGGAATTACATAAATGGCCATTTCAAGTAGCTCCTTTAACTTATTTATTTGCACTTTCCGTCCCTTCATACTTTTTCCTCCCCACAGACTTTTCCCTTTTATTTTCGACAAACAAGATATGCAAGAAAATCTGATTGACAGCCCAAATAGGAAGGGTGTCAAACCAATAGACTTCACTAAGTAGTGGTAAAATAAATTTACCCTAACCTTTGACTACAAGTATTAAAATATTAATTTATATTCACAGTATTTTTTTAAGTTATGTCATAGTCAAACATTATTCACATGTCATAAGAATCTACTATTTTATTAAGCGCTTAAATCATTTTATCCAATTTGCCAAGACACTTATATTCTTCCAACCACACAGCTAATTGAATCTTTTTCCTAATTACCCTATAGATTTACTTCTCCAATTTTTTTATTTGAAAACAAAGACGTTATTGCTTGAGTGGATCCAAATATCGTTAATGACTTACTCATTTTTCATTCTTCCTCTTGAACTTTTTTGTTTTTATTATTTGTAATTCAAGGAAGGGCGGACTATGGGATATATTCTGGTAGCAACTAACAAATAAGAATCAATCAATTATTTTTAATTCTAAATTCAATAAAGAGAATTAGTTGTATGGATTTTTCTCATTCAAAACATAAAAAATTTATCATGACTTCGTTTATCACCCACGTAATATATTAATCTTTATTTGTTCATATAATATCACATGTATTAATCTAAAATATTCAAAAATAAATAAATAAAAATGTAAGAACAAAATCTTTCTCTGAACTAACCCATCTCATTTAAGAATTTTTTTTCATAAACCAGCAATCCATTTACAAAGACAAAGCTTGATTCGAGCAAATGAAGCCAAAACATTATTCTTGAAATAAGTAACCAATAGGAGTTTTCTCCAAATTATTTTATCAAAAAAGCAATTTTCCCAAGAAAAAAAAAGTAAGACAAAACTAATCGCACCAAAGTTTACCTATCCAATACTTTAGAGGGCGAAATGTAAAGAAGGCAAAGTAGAAGAAAGTTCTCTATTCTCATTCGCTTCCAAGGAGCTCTGGTATTTGCACAACATCTCCCTTCCATAAACCCTACGACGGCTCCCCTTTCCTCCACCCCACCCCACCCCCACCCCGCCCCGCCCAACTTTACGCTATTTCTCCCTTCAGTGACCTCTATAGTTCTAGAAGAATTCTTCACGAAGATCAAGGTTTGTTCGCAGAGAATTAACTCCAGCTAAAGGTACGCATTTTTCAGAGTTTCACATCATATTGGATTTATCGTTTAGTAGTTAGAAAGCATGAAGTTTTAGAGTTTATTTCGGTATTTTTTACAAAGATTGCTTTTTCAACACAATGGAGTGTCCAGACCACAAAATAGTGATGATATTGTGAATGGATGACTCAACCACATGGCAACATCCTGGACTTGTATAACTAATTGTTGATTTACTTCCGTTGGTCTGCAAGACCATGAAATGGCTAACAATTTCGAGACAATAAGCTTTTAATTATTGGTTTAAAGTTTTAGTCATCTCCCAATTAGTAAGATCGCTAGTCCTTTACTTACAACAGAGTCTTTTTGACATATTTGTTCAAGGACTTGATATGCAATACTACAGGATTTGCAGTCAATATACAACATTGTGATTTGAAGATAGTCTAACAAAATCTGTAGTTCATCGGGTGAACTATGTCGTAGGCATAAGGCAGTCTGGAAAGTCAGTGTTTAGTTCTTCCAAGAACGAGCCAATATTGATAATTAATACTTGAAGTCTAAAATATATGTACATAATCCTATCAGAACTAATATACAAAATATCATGATATATTCTAAACGTGGAATGGTTTCCGTGGTGTTGCAGATCGATTTTCCAGTGACTGCAATCTTTGTTTTAAATGAAAAACTTCAACCTGCAAAAGGAAAGGATATTCCCTGATTAATTACAATGTCATTGTATAAGACGGACTGAACTGCCAAGAAAGCAACATCAAGCATAAAAACAATTGAATCTCTCCGGTATCTGCTTATGATGTAATTGTGATAGGTCACATGATTAGAAGAAAGCTAATAAATTTCCAAGTTGTCATCTAAGATGGTCATGTGGCCAAAGTATGTAGAGAGCAATTATACATACGGAAAAAACCAATTGCATAGTTTGAGTGGTAAATCTCAATTAAAGCAGTTGTATCCTAAAGGTGTAAAGTTGATCTTCACCAGGTCCTTCCGCGTCCCCTTCCCCTTACCCAATCATCCCCCCACCCCCAAAAAAAGAACTAAATGATGAATAATATTAATTTTCTTAGATTCCTCTATTGTTCTTAGGTTTGTGATCATACCTGCAACTGGAAAGCTCTTGCTCTTTCTCCAGCAAGGACTCCCCTTGTTGTATGCAGTTCCTGCGTCCAATGTGTAGACATCAAACTTAGTAAGAGTGGGCTGAGAAGTTTGGCTCAGACATTGATTATTGAAAGTCTATTACATGGATTTCTTTTGGTCTCAATGAGTCAATGGACGTCTTCAGGGCAATATTGCTCTTCTAGTTCTTTAGCTTCTCCAAGGAAGCATTACGTGTAAAGAGCTTACATGATTCTTTTCTGAAGTTGGTAATATGTAACCACTTTTAACTTTTGGATCTTTTATGCTAGCTGGCCTGGGCTTGATATCTTGGTTTACAAGATCCATGAACTTGAGCCCTGTATTTATTTTTCCATTACTCAATTAGTGACCAAATCAGTTGTTATTTTTTACTATGAAGTTCTGTCCTTGGCTTTCCAAGCACTTTTTGAAAATGCAACATATTGACATTCTATCGTGATTTGGCATTTTGATGTCAAGTCTTGTGTGCACGGAGGCATGGTCGTTCTATTTGTTTTTCTCTGAAATTATGTAGAAATTTTTAATGTAGTATACAATATCACAGATGTTTTGAAATAGAGAAGGCATGAGATTAGTATTATCCTGGTCAAACCTTCTAGATATGATGAAGCATATCTTGGATATGGTGTTAAGATGTCTCTTTGAGTTTAGATCGATCATTTGGCCATAAATTGTTTGCATCATAGCATGTACTAAGTACTATGGAGTAACTCAATACAAATTGCAAATGTGAAATGCCGAAGTAATCTTCTTTTTTCTGTATATTGGAGAGCAGTGTGTGCCTCCTAGGGACGGTTAAGAATTAAGACCAAATAATCTTCGGGTACTTGTAGTAGTTGATAATGTTTTTGCTCCAAGTAACCAAGTTGTGCACTTCATCAACAAAAATAAAAAGTAACCAAATTATGCTCTTTTTTTCTGCAGCCAAGCAACAAACATCTACGTGGTGGTTTTTGATAGATTCAAGTGGTAAATCATTGGATAGCGATGACTTCTCAGGAGAAAAGTGAAGGTAGTCAACAACCAGCTGCAACAGACAAGCAGTTGGAGAGTTACTCATATACTAATTGGGCAGACAAGATACAACAACAGTACCAGAAGATCAAAGAGAATGCAGAAACTTACCCCTATGTTTGGGGTTCATATATAGTTGTATATGGGGGATTTGGTCTTTGGTTTGCCTATAGATGGCGAAAGCTCCGTAAAACAGAGAATCGAGTTCGAGTCCTTCAAGATAGACTCCGGAAACTTGTTGATGCTGAAGCATCAACAAGTTCTTCATCTGCTGCCACTAGCAAGGCGCCTCCATCTTCTGATATATCAACCAAATAGATGGTTTTTTTAACCATGCAAGTCTACCTCTTTCATTTGTGCTCAAATGGGGAGTATTAGTTGTCAGTGAAGCTGTAAGGATATCACTCCTTCTGTGACAATACGTGATCACGAAGCCAAAGTTGGCAGTCATAACTAAAAGTTATGTACATTTGTGAGGGTTGTATTAATTTATTTATTTTTAATAATTTTAGCTGAATTTCGTGTTTGTGAATTGTGATATAGTGGTCTACTTGAATGATTTGTGCAATTGATACATCATTGATTTTAGAGAAGAAAAATTAGATCATACACAGTTCTTTCCTAATTGTAGCTGAAACTCTGAAAAGGTATAGCTGGTTGAGTATAATTTACTTTTTAGAGGTGATGTAACAAGGCACTAACATAAAATGAGTAAGTTTTAATTTTTTGAAATTTTTATTTAAGATTATTATTGATTCCTTAAACCAACAACTTTTTGATTTTCTGATACTTTAATTAAAAATAATTAAAAGAGAGAGAGAGAGACATGAGAGCATTATCTTTTTGAGTTATTTCCTCTCATGCTTGTTGTGCGATGTGTCCTTCGTCCTAACATAACAGTCTAGCTTGTCATCTTGTGCCCCTGTCTCCTAAACAGTTCATATATAGTTCAATTTAATGTGATAAAGATAATTTTATGATTTTAAGAGTAAAATTTAGTAAATTTGATGTAACAAAAAGTAGTGCAAAAATAATTTTGTTACCTTAATGTTACAAAAGGGTAAAATTTAGTTACTTTAATGTGTGAAAAATAATTTAATAATCTATTAACGTAGTGATTAAAGTTCAACAATAATACCTAAAATTAACTTTAAATTACAAACGCCAATATTATGTTATTACAAGGAAAAACTTTAATATATTATTTGGTGATTATTCTATGATATTCAAACAAACTATTCTTTGACAAGTCCCCGAGAGATAGCCTAGCGACCGAGATATGTGGGTTATAGCTGGTACCTTTTATGGCAGAGGTATACACCTTATTTATTATAAACCAAAATTATTTTAAAATATAATTTTTCATAGTTACCTTTTATTTTTTTATAGCAAAATAGATATTTGTGGTATATACTACCATTAAGGCGTTAAATACTCTACTCCCGTTTTTCTCTCTCTTTCTTTCAGTATTCTCTCTCAAAATCTCAGCAAAATACTTCTTCCTTCTCTCTCTCTCAACAAGATTGTGCTAATGTTAAAGCGCGATTCTCTCACACAGCACAATTCTCTCTCAAATTCAACGTTTTTGCTACAAAAAATCGTGGTAAGTATTAAGTTTTTGGCCGGTTCACGCTTCTTTTTCTCTTCACTCTTTTATTTTTAATTTTCACCATTGTTAGGTTTTCAGTAGAAAACTTCAAATTTCGTCTTCAAAGGCTGATTCAATAACTCCGAAGAGGATTACATGAGGTATACCCACTAAGCACTCAATTTTGATGAGCCGCCTTTCGATTTTGCGAATCGCTCAAGAGGAACCTGTATTTGCAGGTTTACCAGCTACCATGGAAGCCAAAAGGTGAACAAAAATATGTAATGACCCTATAAAACAAGGTCAAGATGAGAAAAAATCAACAGTTCCTGATGTTCCTCAAGTTTCTATACAAAACTTAGATGTATTTATATGTATTTGAGTCCGCATACATTGATTTTAGTTTGTACGGTGATTTTTACTTTTTGTATTTAGATGTATTTATATGTATTTGAGTTCATAAAATAACAATATCAAATACACCAACAGTTCTATCATAATCAATGTATTTTGATGTATTCATGTCTGAGTTCGATATTCACGTATTCACTGTTTTGTATATACTTTATTTTGTATACCATTAAAATAATGTATTTCATATATACATGTATTTATATGTATTTGAACTCATAATCAACCTACATTAAAAATAATTAAAGCAATGTATTTTGATGTATTCATGTATGAGTTCTGTATTCATGTATTCACTGTATTGTATGTGATGTATTTTGTATACAACGAAGCAACTAAATCATTGTACGAAGCATACTCCTCTATCAATATCCCCTCAATCGAGTAATCGATAGAACAATTTTCATTGTTCCACTTCCCAGAATGACGAATTAGCATTGTTAAGCTTACCATCTAGTAAATCGAATTACTAAATATTCTATAAACACATGTATCAATGCCGTGCAGAAAAAATTCCTATCAATGACGGTCAAATCAAAACCTCGAACTATATCACGAAAACATTGACTAAATCTCTTGAGCTCTGCAGATTGTGTTATGTCCAAGCTAAATATACAACGCTCTGTGTTTTGTGTTTAGCGTCTGAAAAATCATTCTAATTAATTGGGTTGAAAACGAGGCGTGTTAGAATTGATTTTATTGAGTTATATTAAGAGTGTATCACACTAATTGATCCTATTTCCGTTATTAGACAGCTGGACAGACCTATTTTTAAAGGAATTGTCGTTACTGTATTCATGAATACATGGCGCGAATATAGTCGCGTACATCTGGACATCCCTGTTTTTAGGTGATTTTTGCTACTGTATTCAATACAGTAGCGCGAATACAGCGAATACACTACCGTAACAACTAAATAGTAGGTATAGGAAGTAATTATGTATATGGTAGCTATAGGAAGTTATTAGCCACTAAACAATAGTGGTTTCTGAAAATTCCTCAAATTTCAACTTCAAATTTCAGTTACATACTTGGAGTGAGCCATTTTGTTCCTATAATATACAATATTTGGGGTATTTTTACTTTTAGCCTGGAAATTATTTATATTCGTAGCCGAAAAAGTGTATAAAATTTGAATAATTTTTGTATATAACATACAGAATGTATATATATACAAAATATATACAAAAAAATATGCATTTTATCGGATATTATTTTGAGAGCGGTTATACTGTGTCATTTTTCCAAGATTGGCCTAGGAGTGTGTTTGGTACAAAGGAAAAATATCTTGCACGAAAACTTTCTTCTAAAAAATAATTTTTTGAAAAATAAGAGGTTTATTTATTTATCTCTTGATGTTTGGTAAGTATATTTTAAAAGTATTTACATATAATCTAGTCATCAAATAGTATACGAGCGGAGATGGCCGAAAGGTGGGGGATTATGTAGGGCCGAAGTTGGGGTGGGTGAGACTGTGGGGTCTTAGTGGCGGATAGGAGACAATTAGCATTGAATGTCACTTGTGAATTGTTTTTTCTTCTCTTATCAAGAAAGTTATTTTATTGACTTTTAAGGAAATTGCTTTCAACCCAAACATCTATATAGATATATAAAATAGGGACAAATAGTGCTCACATAGCACCTCCCATAGTCCAGAAACTGTATTTATCTATTATCTCATTTTTTCTTTCTTCAACTTTACTGTTTATTTAAAATTTAAACAAGTGCCTAATACATTAAAGGATAAGACATTGAAAACGAAATATACAAACACGACTGTTTCCAACCGTTTCATGACCTTCCTGTAACGATCCAGATTTCCTACCCTCGGGAGTCGTGATGACGCCTACTCGTGAAAGCTAGGCAAGTCAACTATTAAGGTTTCAACTCATTAGCAATCAACGCAAACAGATATAAAAAGTAATTAAAGATGAACAGATGAAAAGTGCGGAAGAGTTATAACAAATTCAAATAATCCAACACATGTCTACTGATGGTAGGCTATAATTGCGTATTTTAGTCGCTTATTACACTCTAATTTACTGCACTTTAATTAAGTTTGAGCTTTACTCGCTAGTGTTTTGCACTAACTGTGTGTTTTATGCCTTGTAGGAGTGATTCCGAGCTATATAGATGTTATGAAATGAATTCTAGTGATTTGGAGCTTTGAAATCTGAGTAAAAGCCCAAGGAATTAAGTCGGGATCGTGTTCGGGGGTCAAATTTGACAGTTAAGAACAAACGAAGACTCGAATAGGCATATTGCGCACTGTCTAGTAAAATGAACATAACTTTTCGCTCAGAACTTCATTTGGGCTCTACAATATATGGTTAGAAAGCTAACTCAAAGAGCTACAACTTTCATGTTTTACGTTTTTCCACATTCCAGACGAAACAGTGTGAAAAACGCGGTCGAAACCGCGACCGCGGACCTGGACGCGGACAGAGGCAGTGCACTGGGAAAATACCGCGACCGCGAGCGTCCAGACCTAAAAAATTGTCCTTTTTCGCGTAGGAGAAGGTATAATTATTTGGTCCCGACCCTACTTGGTATATATACATAGAAACACGGTATTTTAAGAGGTTGGACATACTTTTGACATAATTTAGACCTAAGGAGGCCAAGGAGACCGGAGATTCAACCTAAGTAGGCAAGAACACACTAGGAGTAAGGCGGAGAATTCTTCTACGAGTTTTTTACTTCCTTCTTCCTATTTTCATTATTGGTTATGACTTTTAGTATTGTAGTTTTACATACTATTATGAATAGCTAATTTGTTATCTAGGGTTTTGATAGAAGCTTTTGTAGGATGAATTCTTGTTAGGTTTTAATATAATTTATCCTTTGAATTTATCTATTTGTTCAGCTACGTATTTATTTCAGTTGATTGAATGGCCATCGATTGACTGTGCCTATTTATTATGTGTTGCTTGAGAAAGGATACATATTTAGGTGGTTGTTGAACAACGTCACTCGTAATGTATGTGATAATTCAATACAACGGATTTAAAGGCAGGTTTAGAAATAACAAAGCCTTGACGTGGCGGTCATAATGCGCGGTTAGATAAAGCCAACTAGCGTAGTTCGTGTGATGACCCAAAAGGCCATCACTTGTTTTAAAATAAAATTCTACGTTCCGAGGCTTAAAAACCTCTCTTAGCATCACCTCGATTTGCGTGCGCATTCCGGGCGCGTAGCCGGAAAGCCTAAATGTGAAAATCTATGAAAAATGATAAGTTTTGACCATAAAATGAATTAATTTGACTTCGGTCAACGTTTTGGGTAAACGGACCTGGACCCGTGATTTGACGGTCCCGGAGGGTCCGTAGGAAAATATGGGACTTGGGCGTATGCCCGGAATCGAATTCCGAGGTCCCAAGCCCGAGAAATGAATTTTTGAAAGAAATTATTTTCTGAAATTGTTTATAAGGTTTGGAAATGAATTTTGATTAGAACATGTTGGTATCGGGCCCATATTTTGGTTCCGGCGCCCGGTACAGGTCTTATATATGATTTAAGATAATTCTGTGAAGTTTGGTAAGAAACGGAATTCATTTGACGTGATTCGGACCTTAAATGCAAATTTGATGTTTAAAGAAGTTTTGAGAAATTTCGTTGATCTTGAGGTTTAATTCGATGTTCATGATGTTATTTTGGTGATTTGAGTACACGAATAAGTCTCTAGGATATTTTTGAGGTTGTGTGTATATTTGGTTTGGAGCCCCGAGGGCTCGGGTGAGTTTTGGATAGGCCACGGGGTGAAATTTTGGACTTAAGGAATTGCAGGCCTACAGGCTTCGCATTTCCCAACCTCCCTTCGCAATTCCCAGGCTTCGCAATTCCCAAACCCATGTTCGCAATTCCCAGACTTCGCAATTCCCAAACCCATGTTCGCAATTCCCAAGCTTCGCAATTCCCAAACCCCTGTTCGCAATTCTCACATCTGAGACATGCAACTTTTATACTTAGCCGAATTTTTAACCCATTTCATATTCTCTCAAAACATAAACACACTTAGGCGATTTTTCAAGGATTTCTTCTTCTCCAAATCAATTGTAAGTCGATTTTAACTAACTTCCTTCAATTCTTAACATCTTTTAACATGATTTCAACTTCAAATCAATGGTTTTCATGGGGAAATTGGGTGTTTTGGGTAGAACCTAGATTTTTCAAAAATTGGGGATTTGGACCTAGATTTGAGGTCCGATTTCAAAACAAATTATATATTTAAGTTCGCGGGGGAATGGGTAATCGGGTTTTGGTTCGAACCTCGGGTTTTGACCATGTGGGCCCGGGGGCGATTTTTGACTTTTGGGCAAAACTTTGGAAAATTCATTTTCATGCATCCAAATTGATTCATTTAGCATTTATTGATGTAATTAAGTAACTTGTGACTATATACGAGCGAATTGGTGGTGGAATCAAGGGGTAAAGCTATATTTGAATCGTGAATTGTGTTCGAGGCATCGAGGTAAGTGTTTGGTCTAACCTTAGCTTGAGGGATTAGGAGTTGTCTCTATTTGCTACATGTTAATTGTAGAGTACGATGTATAGGCATGGTGAAAAGTATCTATACGTCGGTGTCAAGCATGCCCATGAGTCTTGTGTTATGAATTGTTATGACTCCGTTGTGGTTTATTGTGCCTCACATGTTATTATCATCATTGTTCCCTTGCCGGGATGTTTGGTTGATATTATTGTTCCCTTGCCGGGATATTATTGAGATATTATTGTTCCCTTGCCGGGATATTGTTGAGATATCATAGTTCCCTTGCGGGGATGTTGTTGAGATATTAATGTACCCTTGCCGGGAAGTTATTATGTTGCTCTTGTTTCCTCGCCGGGATTCTTTGTGGTTGTTGTTGTTTTGTAAATGGGAGCGGGTGGTACGCCTACCACGAGATATAATGAAATGGGAGCGGGTGGTACGCCTACCACGAGATTTAATGAAATGGGAGCGGGTGGTACGCCTACCACGAGATATAATGAAATAGGAGCGGGTGGTACGCCTACCACGAGATTTAATAAAATGGGAGCGGGTGGTACGCCTACCACAAGATATAAGAAATGGGATCGGGTTGCACGTCTACAACGAAATGTGAATTAAAAGTGAAATCTGCCTTTGTTTTCCTTATCCTTGATAGTAGTTGGATATTGGTTCTCTATAATTCTCTAGATATTCTGTTTTACCTGTTATTCCTCGAAGCATGTTCCCCCTTCCCACCTTTAACTGTTTATCCCGCTTTACTTTCCGCTATACATTTTATTACTGCACAGGTTTATATGGTAGTCTGGTCTAGCCTCGTCACTACCTCGCCGAGGTTAGGCTAGACACTTACCAGCACATGGGGTCGGTTGTGCTGATACTACACTCTGCACTCTTTTGTGCAGATCCCAGTGCTGTTGACTTCGGACCGCAGTTGGAGGCTACCTTCAGTCCACGCGGAGATCCAAGGTAGACCTGCAGGCGTCCGCAGGCCCTGGCGTCTCCTCTATCCTTATTTCCTGTTTCATTTTCTTTATATTCAGAAACACTGTATTGAAATTTTCTTCAGACCTTGTATGTAGTAAATCTTAGACCGTCTGTGACACTGACACCAGGTTTTGGGTGGTTAAGGCTTAAGTACTTGTAATAGATATAGTCTTCATACATTTTATCGTTGTCTTCCGCTTAAATTTGAATTTCCGCTGTTATCACGTTATCGCTTTATAATTGCTAAAAAGAAATAATTGGATAATGAGATAAGTAGTTAATGGATTGGCTTGCCTAGCTCACATTAGTAGGCGCCATCACGACTCCCGAGGGTGGAAAATTCGGGTCGTGACAGACACCGGCAAGAATGGTATCAAAAAAGAAAAATAGAAGAAATAGTTAATTTTTTTCATGTAGTTAATATCCATTGATTATCTATATTTACTGAGAAAGTGTAAATTTTAAGATTATTTACATACAATCCAAATAACTTAAATATTTGATATGATTAGTGTCCGCGCGGATACTAATACTAGTTTATTTTTAATGAGAAGCTTTTATAACACACAAATACTTTGGGCTCCTTTTTGACTTGTTTAGAACCACAAATTCCAAAAGTCTTCATTTTTCTTAAACTCCGTGTCTATTCAAACAGGTTCACATAAATTGAAACGGAGAGAGTAGTATTTTCTTTTTTTAAATTCTCTTTATTTCCAGAAAAAGGGCTAAATATTTTAGCATTGTTGCTGCCATTGCTTTGGAATTGGATGCGCTATAAAAAAAAAATAAAAAATTGGAATATAAATACGATAGTAAAACACTTATCAAAGTGCAAATTCATTAATTCAAATAACGAGATTTCTAGCACTTCAAAATCACTTCTTTGTCGATTTTGGGCCACTATTGGAGTTGAAAAAAATGATGATAAAGATAATTTTCGGTGCTTCAGTTAAAGAAGAGATTAGTTGCGGTGATTAAAGTAAAAGAAAATATTTCTATTAAACGTGGTAAAATGGAGGGTGAATAATTTTCTTGCAATTTATGTGATTTACAATTTAGAATATCACAATAAAACCCGAAAAAGATTAGGTGACGAGGGTGGTGGTAGAATTAGAAATGATGGAAGGGGCTAAAATGAATTTGATTGGTGAGGTGGCATGCCACGTAATGTCCATCTCATTGAAATATCAGATTATGTAGGATGATATTGCCATGGTGGAGGAGTATTTTTGCACCAATTTAAAACGTCAAAATATTAATGGGTCGAAAGTATAAGGAAGAAGAGGGAAAAATTCAAAAATAGCCAGATTTACAAGTAGTCATTTAAAAATAGCCACAGTTTCAAAAATAATCGAAATTTAGCCATTTTTCGTGTAAAGATAATCTGAACGAAAACACTGTTCAAAATCCGGAAAAAACTCTAGTATAATATACTGGAGTCCAACATAAGTATACTGGAACTCCAGTATAATATACTGGAGTTCCAGTATAATATATCGGTCCAGCATAATATACTGGAGATTGGAGCACCGCTCCAGTATATTATACTGGAACTTTTCGCTTGTTGGAGTTCTATCATAATATGCTGGAAGTTCATACACAGGTATACTGATCTCCAATATTTATGCTGGAATTTTTTGTGTTGCAGCAAAATAGTGGCTATTTTTCAATGACTTTGTAAATGTTGGCTATTTTTGAATGATCAGTCCGAAAATAGACTAGCCCGTGCTGTTTTTACGAAAAAGTGTATAAATAATGCTTACGAGTACTTTTGACCGTTTTCCCATTACATATTTGTCCTGGTTTAGTGAGAGTAGCCATCTCCTTTCAATGGCGAAGCAATGTCAATAGGCCCGCCAAGGTAACTCACTTGAATTCACCTTATCTTCTTACAAAAATAAGCTGGTTTAGACTATACCCAAATCAAGATTATCCTTTCTATTTATTTTTCCGTTAACAAAACCCTTATACCCAAATTCAGATTATACTATTTTATAGAAGAATTTTTGGTAGTGCTGAAAATAAAATGTGTTTAAGGCTCATCACTGGCAAAGCAGCTCAAGCTTTATCCAGAATTCGCTGCAATGGCAGCTCTCAATATCTCTACTCAACAAAGTCAACCCGTATCGCATCCAATTTTTTGGTTAAATACCTCATTGATTCTCTAGGATTTTCCAAAAAAGAAGCAACTTTTACTTCTTCTAAGATAACTTCACAGAAAACCCTAAAAAATCCTGATTTAGTCCTCAATTTCTTGAAACAAACTGGTTTTGACAATACCGACATCAAAATATTGGTTTCTAGAGCACCCACATTGCTATACCGTGATGTTTCCAAAACCCTAAAACCCAAACTCCAGTGCCTTATGGATCTCGGGTTATCCGGGTCGGACCTAGTGAATGTAATTGCTAAAGATTCAAATATTTTTATGAGAAGTTTAGATACTCATTTGAGACCTACCATTGATTGTCTTAGGAGAATTTTGGGTAGCGACGAAGATGTAGTTAAGGCTATGAAGAGAGCTCCTTGGTTGCTCTCTTTTGGTACTCATCATATTATGGAGACCAATGTATTGTTGTTGAGAAACTTTGGTTTTTCTAATGTCATAATAAAAAAGTTTGTGCTTAGATCTCCTGCTTGTATTAGTCTAAAGCCTAAGTGGTTTAAGGATTTGTTGCATATAGTGGAGAAGGATTTCCGAGTTCTGCCCGACTCCCCTAGTTTTCTACGTGGATTTCAAGTGTTAGCCAGTCAAAGTAAGTCTTCGTTGGAAAAGAAGATCGGAATTTTCAAGAGTTTTGGATGGTCCAATGATGATATACTCGAGATGTTTAGGAAGCTACCGTATTGCATTGCTAAATCAGAGGTTAGAATTCAAAAATCATTAAATCTTTACATGAAGGAGCTTGGTTTTGAACCTGCTTATTTGGCTTCGCATCCTGCAATTTTGGCCTATAGTCTTGAAAAAAGAGTGGCACCTCGGATGCAAGTCTTGAAAATTTTGGATGAAAAGAAGCTTGAGAGGAGAAAGTGGACTCTTTATCGCGTTCTGATGATAACAGAGTCAAAGTTTATAGAGTATTTTGTGCTTCCCTATAAGGATCAGATACCTTATCTGTATGAATCGCATAAGAAAACTGTGGCGCCTTAACAGTTTTGGTTTACATTTTAGCATAAGGGTGCTGTGACCTTTTTAAAATTATCATTTGTTGTCCAGTATACTTTTGCTTTTCATTTTTCAGTTGGTTTTTTGAAAAATATAGTTAGTGTTGCCAAAAATCATTTCAGTTGGGACATAGTGCTCCTTGAGCCGAGGGTCAGAAGCTGCCTCTCTACCCTCACAAGGTAGGGGTAAGGTTAGTGTACACTCTATCCTCCCCAGACCCCACTTATGAGATTACACTGGGTTTGTCGTTGTTGGTTGTTTCAGGACATAGTGCATAGGGTGATGAATGCTGTTGCATTTCTTGACATGTTCTTTTATGGAGTTTATGTCTTTGGTTAGATCAGTGAGCTGCTTTTAGAGAAGAGGTTTGCAAATTATCATGGCTCGGAATGTACCTTGTTGTTTAACTCTATGAGAGGCTACAATCAAGAGGAAAAGTTGATTTTCTTATGAACGAATTGGGATTAGAACCAGAGATCTTGGCTTCTGCTTCCCTTTTATCGTATAGCCTGGAGAAAAGAGCCGTGCTACAGATTGATGTCTTGAAAATTTTGGATGAGAAGTTGGGTACGAGATATCAAGTTCTCCGGTTAAGGTGAATCAAAGTTTTGTAGAGCAATTTGTGGTGCCTTACAGGCTCAGATTCCTAATTTGTATCTCACTCAAGAAATAGTGAAAAATTTGAGGAACATCTTTTGGCAGAAATTTATAAACATTCGCTTTGGCTGTTGAATATATTTGCTGCAACTCATCTCTTCAATGCTGAAGAATGCATATATGTGACATACAGTCATATATAATATTTGTGAAGAGTCCATTTCGATTTCCACTGGAGTCAAATTTTTATCGAAGTCTACTGTCAGTCCAGTATAGAGTACTGATAATTTAGCAATGAAGTTGATTTGCGTAAGGTATGTTCAGTCCAGTGCTTAGTTTGTAGGGTGTCTTTTTTGGGGTAATCCGCGACTCATAGGCAGTGGCTGTTTGCAGCTTATTTGTCCTTTTGTTTGGGCTTGTCATACCTGAATTCTGTGGCTCGGGCAATGACTCTATGAAATTGCCCTCCATTTGAGTATATTTGCCCCTTGCTATCAAAAGATGATGAGGGTTTTAAAGGCGAATACTCAAACGGCGGGCGATTTTAAATAATTTCTGATAGTAAAGGGATATATATATAAACCTTTTGTTTTGTTTTTTCCCAGAATGTGGACAAACCAAATAAGAAGAAGATTGGCATTTTCCTCTATTTTGCCTTTTCTTTATATATTTGTTCCTTTTTCAAGAGTGAATTAATGCCTTTTATGCTTATTATCATGTTAGTTTTACTTACGCATTTATATTGTAAAATGTCATTTATTTGGTAGAAACAAATAATTTAAGTTAAAATAAAACACGCAATGACCACATGGACAAAATGGACTGTATGTGCCAGATTTTTTTTTTTTTTAATTTAAACCACAAAATTAAGCAAGCTAATATATGTGACTTCTAACAAGTTTTCTAAATGGCCAAGTACATATAGAACCCATTCAACTTGGTCCCATTTTTTATTTTGGCACTCTATCTCAACCTTGTTCTATTTTGGCCCTCCAACTCTATTTTTTATGTTTCACTTTAACACAAAAGTTGAAACCAGTGCAAAAAATATAGCGCGTGTGTATACACTATTTGACGTGTAATAAATATCCAATTAAATGTTGCCACCTGATTTTTTCATCCATGTCAAACGGGTCAATACTAAAATATCCGAATCTGACCGTATTTTTCATCCACTGTTGCCCCATCTTCATTCTCAAAGTTCCAAAGTTTTCATCTACCGATTTCATACCTGGCCATCCAGAAAATCTCGAACTTTTACAATTTTATTGTTCGTTTATTTATTCTGATTTTTTTGTGGGTTTATTTCTTCTAAGTTTGAAGTTGAAGTGAATCCATGTCTCAAAGAAAATTATTTTTTCATAATGGAATGAATATTTGTTCTTGTGGATTTCAAGTTGAACTGAAAGTATCATGGATACCAAGAAATCCAGGTCGACGCTTTTATGGGTGTAAATTTAACAAAGTAAGTGAACCATTTTCGGATTTTATTTTCAGTGTTGTCATTTTCTTGTGTAAATAAGAAGGGACTTAATTTTACTCAAATATGATCGGGTTCAGGTATTTTAGTATTGACCCGTTTGACATGGATGAAAAAAATCATGTGGCAACATTTAATTGGATATTTATTACACCTCAGATTTGTGTATACACACGCGCTATATTTTTTTGCACTGGTTTCAATTTTTGTGTTAAAGTGGAACATAAGAAATAGAGTTGGAGGGCCAAAATGAAACATATAAAATAGAGTTCGAGGGTCAAAATGGAACAAGGTTGAGATAGAGTGCCAACATGAAAAATGGGGCCAAGTTGAATGGGTTGTATATGTATTTGGCCTTTCTAAATTGGGAGACTTATAGTTCAGCCATCTCAAGTAGGAGTAAGGCTTGCATACAAAATATACTTTCTAGAGAAGTGCTTTTTTTTTTTTGGGCCAAAAGCTTCGTTTAGGTGTTTGACAAAGTTTTTAAAAGGAAAAAAAATGCTTTTGAGTAGTAGCAGTTTTTTGATAAGCAGATTAAAGTAGCTTCTCGCCAAAAGCACTTTTTTGAATTTGAGAAATACACCTAGAAACACTTTTTAAAAACTTAGTCAAATACTAATTGTTGTTCAAAAGTATTTTTTAAAATTAATTAGCTGAACAAAAACTGTTTCTCACCAACCTAGTAGGCTAGTACGATCCTGTGACGATCATAGTTTCTGTTAGGATAAAGTTTGGTGTATAAAAAGTTTCCCGTAAAATAGGGGTATATCAAAAGTAGGGGTGTCAAATGGGCGGGTTCAGCTGAATTTGGACAGGTCAAAATGGGTTGAGTCAATAAATGGGAGGGTCAATTGACCCGCCCAAAAGTAACTTGGTTGAGATGGTTTGGGTCAACTTGGGCAAAAATTTGGGTCATAGCCCAACCCGCCCAACTCTTACTAAGCTAGCGTTTGACCATAGATTCCAAAATTTATTTTGAAAAATCTGATTTGGGTGAAGATTGGTTTAAAGATGAAAATGTGTTTGGACATCAGTTTTCAAAACATATTTCCCAAATTTATTTTGGAAAAACATGAAACATGACTTATACCCACAAGTTCTAAAAATTATCACAAATACCCAACAGTACCATTATCAATAATATTCATTATATTATCGCAAACCATAGTCCTGAACATAAATAAATTTGGTACAAAATTATCATTTCTATAATGAACTACATGATACACTATTAGATGACCGAGAAGACGAAGCAACATTGTTACAAAATAATAAATGGTAGGCTCTTTTATAAAATACAAAAATTTGGGGCAATTTTAAAAAATTGTAATAGTTATTGAGGTAAAATTGCATGGGGCGCCCTATTTGGGCGCCTCTTTTCAACCTGTAGCCGCTTTGTTTTTCTGTTTGCACCCGTACCCGTTTTTTTGTTAATAGCCTTTTAAAAAGACTATTTTGCCCTTCTTTATTAAAAGAGTACTTTCTCTCCAAGTATACGCTAGTCCTCTACTGTCTCTGTCTCTCTCTCCCGTTATTCGCATTTTTTGATTTGTTCTTCTCTGAAATCCAACGATTTTCGTCGTTGTTTTTTATTTTTCAACTGCTAGTCGTCGTTGTTATTGTTCCCACATTACGCACAGGTACATTGTGTGAGCACGTGATTTTTGCCCTATATGAATTACTCCCATAATTTCAAACAAAATAATTTCTTTTCATTATTTGCAATTTTGTGGATTTTGTGACCTTTTATGTTAATTGTTTGCATTTTGTTTGTGCATTTTAATTAATGAAAAATACAAAAATACTTGGCATTTGCATTTAGGGTTTAATTTCACATTTTAGGTTTAATTAGTAATTAAGTTACTTTAAAAATAAAGAAAATAACAAAAATGGTTCTTTTGCATTTTTGCTTTTAATTTGTCTTAGTTTGCTTTTAAATTAGGAATTAGTTTATTTGGAAATCAATTAGTATAATTTTAGAGTTAATTTGGGTCTTTTACGTTTAATCTTGCATTTAATCAGAAAATATATATAAAAAAAAAGAGGGGAAAAGAAGGAAAGGAAAACCAACAAAAGAATTTTCATTAATTGAATTGAAAATGCAAGAAAAGGCATCAGACTACCCAAAATCAAGCCCAATCTCACCCTGAAACCGGACCAAAATGCCCAGCCCAATTGTATTACCCAGTCTGGTCCAGCAAATGACCAAAACGACGTCGTTTCGGTAGAACAAATCTGAGCCGTCTAGGTTCTTTTGATCGAACGGTCAGGAACTGATTTCCCCATGGCATAAATATGTCCTAACGCTACCCTACCCCCTCAGACCCCCCTTACCCTCTCATCTCTCTCATCTCTCATCAGAGACTCGTAACGCCGCCTCCCTCCGCCCTAGACCGCCGCCGGAAATCGCCTCATGGCGGCGGCCGGTCTCCAAATAACCCCAAATTTACACCTCATGCTCCTCTCCTCCTCCCCTTTTTCATATTCATGTCCAGTTTCCCTAAAAAAATACCCGAACTCCTCGAATGTCCAAAACCCTAAACGCCGTCTCCGCCGCCCACGGCGGCGCCACCCCCAAACCTTACCGGATTAACATCAGGGCCCCTCCTCACTTCTCTCGTTCCGAATCCATCATCAGTAGCCTTCACATCATCCCAAATCTTCTCCAATTTCAAATCGAAGAAGCGGCAGAACCCTAGAATTCAAATTCCTTGATAGATGCACATCCTTTTGAGGTTTCGAGTCGAAATCCATTCTTGGTTCAAACCTAGGTGAGTTTCTCCTCTTTACTTGTTATTTGAAATTCACTGATTTTTAAAGGAAAGGTCTTCTGATTAATTCATGTTTCATTGGTATTATTTGTTTGGCAGTGATTATTGTTCTCAATCTTGAGTTAGTTTGTTTTGGGGTTCTGTGTTGATTTGAATCCCATGGTTGGTAATTGCTTTCGTCAAACTTGACTGGTTTCGTTCATATTCTTAGATATAAGTAGCTTCATTTTGTTATTTGATTTTTGTTTGAATTGCTGAACTTAGTTGGATTTAATTTCCATGTTCTGATTAGTTGGTATGAATGGTTAGTTCAATTTTAGGATTTGTTTAGATTTAGCTGAACCTTTAGTCCTTGTTGAGTACTTAACCGTGGTTATTTGACCAAGGTAAGAGGGATGGGGTTAATTGAGATAAGACTAGTAATTTCAAATTGAGTTCAGGGGTAGTTTGGGTATTTAGAATTGGGCAGAAATGCTGTAGGTTAAGCTAGAACACCCTAGACTCTTCTAGAACAGGGCCTTAGTTATAATTTCAGAAGTTTAGGGCAATAACTTGAGAAGCAAGTCGAAACATTAAGGGCTATTGAATAAAAGCTGAAAATAAAAAGAGGGAGAAAATGGGTAATGAAATCTAGAAGCTTCCCCTTGATTTTCTGCCTATAAAAGGCACCCCCCTCACCTTCTTTTGCAAGTTTTGAACACCTAAAAATTCCCCAAAAGGTTTCAGCATCTAAAATTCCCCCAAAAAAAAAAAGTTTTCTGCAAGTCTTAGGATCTGAAATTTGAATTTCAAATTCAAATACTCAAATCTGAGCTCCTACAATTCGAAATTTCCTCTTAGATTTTAGTTTCTTCAGAAAAAACCAAAAACAAAAAGCAAAAGCAATAGAAAAGCTCCGAAAAATACTGTTATATTAGATTGATTTCAAGTTTAGCTGTTAAGCCGAGTCTCTAGTGCTC